AAACAGCTATCAAAATGAGGGAACCGAGCAGAATATAAATGAAATAATGTGCTCAAAATGGTTAAAATTCAGTCCTGCAAGTAGTTGAAGTACAAGACGAAATGTAAAAACACACGTTGAGGCTTTGAAATATGTTTTTCCAAACATCTTAAAAAGTGTCCAGATTATCTGGTGAGGAGATCCAGACAAAGGCTAATATTGGATCTGAATTATAAAGTCTTTGCAAATATCTTTAATGCCACCTATGCATAAAAATTCCACAAACGCAAAGTAATGTTCAGACTGACCACAGTGTGATTTAAGCATGTTGGAAGGCTATAATTGCATTAAGTGTGGTAAATTTCACATTTATTTCCAAGCACCTGGAAAGAATAGACTAAAAAGTATTTAAATGATAAAAAAACATAGGACACAAAAGTGTGCGTGTACATAGACATAAATTTGAGAAAAAAAATTAACAACTCAAAAGTGTCAAGTAGGGCATTAAAATATTTTTCAAGATGTTTTAAAAACTGAATGGACATTGAGGAATGATTTTGAAAGTAAAATAAAATCTAAAGACTAAAAAGGTCCCAAAGAAGCTGACGCCCAAGTCCCTCAGTGTCAGAATTGACTGGGAAACCCTGTACAATTTCAGGATATATTTAATTAGTAGTCATTACTGTGAGCTTCACCAGCTTTAAAGTCCATGAATAGAAGACAAAAACTGTTGCACAAAAGAGAACAGAAGGGTTGTTTCCCATTTTATTTTCCTGTTACTCAAGATTATAAATAAAGAATTTAGCAATTGCCAGCAATGGCCCAAATGGATGAGAAATAAGGGTGTACACCTCAGTGAGCAGGAGAAGGAGCTTCTCAGAGCAGCAGCGAGTCTTGGAGCAGTGCCCCTATTTCCCAAAAGCCAGGGCTGCCACCATACAGTGCTGTATCTGAAACACCCAACTGCAGCCTTCAACTCTTATGTCCTACCCTGTGGGGATTTCTGGCACTGAAAGCCCTGGCAGAGGGACTAATTGTAAAGCTTCAGCCTAGATGCGATTTCTTACAGGCCTGTGTGTACCTGTCATTTCAAGATGGAGTTCGACTCCCTCACCATAGCTGGGAGCACACAATGGGTGTCCTTTTGGCTTTTGCTTTGGCAATTGGTGCAGCTTCTTAAACTCCACTTCCCATGGATTAGCAGACAATGTCTCTATGGAGATTTATTTTGACAGCTTGGGTTTTAGACAGCTTGTTCTGCATTTTGGCTTCGGCCAGGATGCCACATGATGTTAAATAGCAGCTGAACTGAGTGGACATCTGCTGTCACAATAGTGACCATTAAATTTACAAGCAGACTGAATTAAAAAGGCAAAATCCCACTCCAGTAGAGAACATGAATGTAAGGGCTGTGGCTAACACAGGGGGATTTTTTTCCTTTACTTTTTATCCCCTCCTTTCTTTTCCTTCCCTGCTTCTCTCTACCTTAAAGAGTGGGTAGATTTGCTACCCATTAATTCATCTGATTTTGATAAGTAATTCACCACTAGTCTCTCAGGTGAAACTTCTGAATGCACTTGGAATTTTGAAATATTTAGATAAATGGCCTCTCAAGCAGCAAATAAATATCAGCATGAAAACAACCAGAGCATTGCCCCACGGTACTAACAACACTCTTTGAAAAGCCATTTTCCAGTCTTGTAGAGGATAGGTGGGACTGGGAGGAACTCTCATGCAGGAAAAGGAAAACAACTGCAATTCTTTTTTTTTTTTTTTGGTCTCTTAGGCAACACATTTATTTAAATTAATGTATTTCTAACAGAGAACCTTGGATATATCATTTTACTTGCTGCATCCCAGAACACTGGGCATTCTACACCTGTTTTGTTCCCAAAGATGTACATGGAGGGAAACTCACCAGTAGTTTTTACTCTGTATATAAACCTGTTAATAAATAACACTTCATTTTTCATGAAGGATTTTTTGAAGACTTGGCTGCTACATGCTTTAATACTCTCCCTGTGTGCCATGGAGTAGGGGTGTGAAGGCGGCAAGGAAGGGGTCTTTACAAAGTTGGGCCTTAAAAGACCAAGAGTGAATCCCTTCTGCTGCCCTTCTAGCACAGCTGGGACAGCCAAACCATCCCAACCCAGTGGCCTCGCTGGGGGCATGTGTGCAGCTCACTCAGTGGGTAGTTTTCTATCACATTTCTCTCGAATCCCATGCACTGGTGGATCTGTCTATTCCTTGTGAATACTTGGCCAGGATAACTGAACAAGTCAATTATCTGGGTGGACTTCAGCCATTTATCCCATCACAGGAAGGCGTCCCATCATCTCTAGAGCTTAACACCATCAAGACACTTGTTTTCTTTTGCTTCTGCCTTTTGCTTCTGCTGAAGGCCCTGCAGCTCACACATGGGCAAACTCCTGACACCCAGCTATTTTCTAACTACATCATAAGTAGTTAGATATATATATACATATATATATTAAATATATATAGATAGATAGATATAGATATATATTAAATTATATATATTATATTATATATATATTAAATATATATATAGATATATATATTTAGTTAGATAAATAAATATATAAATAACAGTTTACTACTGTTATTGCCAGTTATACTAAAGTGTAAAATTATAAAATTATTATAAAATAATAATGTCATTGTTTTATTGGGGAATATTTTCATGAGACTACAGAAGAAGACCAAAGGCAATGCTGACTGTGGTATTTGTCTTCCCAGAGGCCCACACCCATGCTGGGTGGGCATGGGGGTCCCTGAGTCCCTCTACTTCAGTGGTTGATGGATAACTGGGAAGGACACATCCTCCCATGGCAGCTGCCACTGTTGCTCTTGCAGCATTCTCAGTTGAGCCAGCCCTGCTGATGGGTGTTCCCTCTGCTGTTTAAGCTACACAGAAAGTGCATAAGGAGTCTCTGCTTTGGCTGACGGGGGCTGTTCTGGGTCCACTCTCACTGCAACAGCTTCACCAAGAAATGTCCCCAGTGGCCACCCCTGTCCCCAGGTGGGGGTTTTATAGCTGCTGCATCTGCTGTGCTACAGATCAGCAGCCTTATGTCTTCAGTCCTGGCTCACCGACATGTTTAAATGTAGGGTAATTGTTGAAAAAATCAGGTGGTGTACCACGGACAAATAAGAAACATTTAAGTGAAAAATCCCCTAAAAAATCCCATATGCTTATGGTTAGATGCCAGGCACAGCAAGCAATAACAGCCCCATAGGGCCAATACTCATGGCCTGCTGCTTATACATAGGGGGCAGTCACAGAGTGCTGCATCAGTCCCCAGCAGATTCCCCAACAGTTCATTGCACTGATTTGCCATGAAATAAAAGCTCCTGTTGATTTAAATGCTGCAGAATGAAGCCTATGTCTTCTGTAGGTTTACAGCAGCTGTGCTATTGCACACACCCTGAGAGCCAGGTATAGATCTAAGCCATCACGCTATAAATATTTTTCTATCCTTGTCCCACAGGTCAGAGGTTAAGTAGGTTCAGGCTAATCTTGCTTTGTGACCCAGCGTCACACATATGGGCAGTGAGGTGCAGCCCCTTTCCAAGGCACACTCCTCTGCGTGCTGTAGTGAAGCCCATCCACACTAGGTGGCCCCAGGAGAATGCAGAACTCCTTGAAAATAATAAACAAAACCTGCTATTTTTGCTTTAAAAAAAAAAAAAAAAATTGGTTACCAAAATGCCTTCTAATAGAATTACTTAGACTGAGCTTTTCAAGGTGCCTGAAAGGCAATCAGAACATCTTACAGGGGAACCCAGAGAATGGCACTGAAATTTTATATTTGTGGAAGAGATTGACTACCAATGCTCTTTTCTCAGAGAAATCCACAGACTGGCCACAGCTGTGTTGCTATTTTCATTACCAACATGAAAGGACTGAGCTAGTGGGGAAGGGAGAGGTGGAGTTGTTTCAGAGGAAAAAGGTGCCATACTTATATTTCCATGACACAACATTAAGTTTGGGGAGTAGATTTCATGCTCAGCATGAGTACACCCTGCACAGTGCTGTGAGCAGGGTTTGGGGCTCGATGGATTGTGCAATACAGCACTGTGCACTGATGAATTCCAGCTGTGAAGTCTGGCCCTTACTGTGGTGTTCTGCTTTGATAAATTCCATTAAAATACAGGAGACAGAGACAGATCCCTTGAAATAAAAACAGAAAAAAAAAAGAAAAAAGGTAATTAGGCCTGATTAATTACTTGGCTTGGCAACAGAAGTGGTTTTGGCTCCATCTTCCTATTACCAACCAAATAAATATGTCTGTCAGAATCCCCTCAGCTAGAGGATGAATGCCAAGAGTGGCCCCGGAAGTGATTTTTAGCACTTTGACACAGACTATGAACCATTCTACGTCTTCTTTAGGGTTGGGTCCCCCTCAGGATTTATTTCTGCGTCAAGGAAGATTACACCTAATAGGATTTGCTTCTTGGAGGCTGTTGGCATGTTTGGTGCAAACCCCTGCACAGTGCTTTCTTAAAGGAGAATATGGACCCTGTTTGTCATATTTTTCTTCTTCTTCTGGCCTTCCACAAGATAAACCCATCTGTTTCATCTTGTATCACAGGATGCTCTTGTTCTCAAGACAGCTTTGGAAGGTAAGAACGCTAGTTACCCCTGTCGTAGCACTAGGAAGTAGCTCATATATATTTGCCAATGATGTGAGCATCAAAACCAGACTGGTGTATGGAGTGCCTCCTCCAACACTTGACTAGTACTAGCTTAAGCACGGAGTGAGATTTCTCTTATTTCCCTGAGATATGTAGCTGCATACATAGCAATTTTTATAACTTAATTGCATTCCTCATGGGAAAATTGGTATAAAACCCATGGAAGAATGATGTATGGCTTATGCATGCCCTATATACAATATCATGTAATTTTTCAGGTGCTTGTCATCCTCTATAGGGAACTGGTTTGTTAGACATGAACGTGGTATGTGACCTAGAGAATTTTCTGTTTTCCTCCTTAGGAGTTTGCTCTGCATGTCTGCACTGCTGAGGCAGATCCCTGCAAACATCCCTCAGGACATCCGGAAAATTAGAATCGAAAATTCTCACCTAACAGAATTGCCTCGTGGGTCTTTTGAGAATGTTAGTGCCTTGGAGTATCTCTGGCTCAATTTTAACAACATCACAGTGATGCACATCAAAAGCCTGGAATATCTGCCAGCTCTGCAGGAGCTGCGCTTGCAAGGGAACAAATTAAGTTCAGTGCCATGGACAGCATTTCAAGACACCCCGACTCTGAAAATCCTGGATCTGAAGCACAACCGGCTGGATGTCCTTCCAGAACACGCACTCCGCTATCTGCCCAACCTGACCTATTTAGATCTATCCTCAAATCAGCTTACCATCATATCCAGGGATGTCTTCTACAACTGGCCTGTCTACCAGAGAAGCCAGAGGACAGAGGGGCAGATAGAAGCTATTTCCAATGCTGTTCTGGCCCTCCACGACAACCCCTGGATTTGCGACTGTCGCCTGCGGGGATTTGTCCAGTTTATCAAGTCGGTTGGCCCACCTATTATTCTGATGAATTCCTATTTAACGTGCTCAAGCCCAAAATTCAGGACAGGGAAGTTTTTTCATGAAGTGGAGCTTAACAGCTGCATGAAGCCCCTGACCTCAGCCCTTGACACCAATCTGACAGTCCCAGCGGGGCTAAACATCACCCTGACCTGCTTTGTGGAAGCCAGCCCATCCCCTGCTGTCTGGTGGACCTATGCACTCAAACTTTTAAGGGCATTTAATGGTAAGCAAAGCTTTTCTTCTTTTTTCCTTTTTCTTCTTCATTAAAAATTTATGGTCTGCTATTCTACTTACATAGGTCTGCAGGCCAACTCAGTCACCACAGCAACTCTCAGCCCCTTTAGAGCACCACAGTTATTGTGGTGGCAATAATCCAAACAATCTTAATCATCCTATGCATCTGAGCACGTCTGACCAGCATAAGAAGAGCTGCTTCATGCAGGATATCAGTCAAAGATGAAAAGAGCATGGCCTCATTTTCACACAATTATCTTATGTGTGGATTTTCAGTAGTAGTTCTTTCCTCGTGACACATGATGTAGGAACTATTAATACTATATCAGCTGTACATATTTAATAAATATGTAGTTATCTAACTATACATGTATATTTACAGTATATATTATATACTACATATATATATGCACATACTCTATATAATTGTATTTGTATGTACACGTGTATCAGCCCACACACATATACATAGGCTTGTATGTTCCTATACTATTTCCATATATTTTCTCAAGAAATACCACACAAACCACAAAACAATGCAGCTCTGTTGCCTGTCTATGTCCATGCATGTTCTACCAACTGAAACAGAGGTGGTTGTTCTCCCTAAGTGTTGTTTATTCATACTCTTTAGCGATGGCCTCATAAAATGAAAGCTTTTCCTCTTCCTCCCAATCCGTCCTCCCTCACATTTATTTTTACTAAGAGTCTTCAATAGGACAAGTTGCTATTTTCATCAGGTAAGATAATAGGCATACAGGCACTGCACAGGCTCTGTGTGTTCCTAATAAGCCAGCTAGCTAAATAGGATAGCATTAGCCCTTAATCCTGGGCTGATATTTGCTTCAATTGCAGCACTGTAGCAGCACCTGTATGCCTTTGCATAAGCACATGCTGAATTAATTACATGCAGCTTTTTCCTAACCTACACCCCTGTTTGGGTAGCTGACAGGGTTTCATACTGTTCTTAAAACTCCATCTCACTTCTAGCCCAACACTTCCTTGCTCCCTCCACTTCTTTTTGGCCTGAACCTTTTCAGTCTGATGTTTTTCCATACTCAATCCTAACAGAGGATGGAGCACGTGTCCAAAACGTATCTGTGCCTCCTCAGTGACTCTCCCTGGTTTCCCCTGACCTAAGAATGCTGATTGCACATGGCACATGGGCCTCTGCCCACATCAGCCTCCCCAGCAACTTGTGCTGGGGCAGGGGTTGGGTGCACTCCATGTCTCCTGTGCTTGGGTGTCCCAGTGTATTTATTGCCTTTCAGACAGACAACACTTTCCTGATGTGCTCTGTGTGGTTTGGCACACTGCTGTTGCCCCTCTTCCTTTTTCCCTGGGAAGGCAGGTCCTGCCAGAGCCCCATCCCACACTTGTCTCAGGGCTGCCCCAAGGGCATGGTGGTTCCCTGCTGCCACAGACAAAAGGGGCCCTACCTGTTGACACAACTTCCCTCTGCCTCTCTGCAGTGACCACTGAGCCCATCAGCGAGGAAACTGTCCGCTCTGAGCTGCTGATCCCAGCGGCACGGCCAGCAGACGCCGGCAACTACACCTGTACAGCCGCCAACTTCTTGGGTAACACCTCAGTGTCCATCAACCTCCGTGTGGTGGCCCCGTGGGCGTCCACCACTCCCCGGGGCTGGGCCCCCATCGCCCCCGCTGAGCCGGGCGCCCACGTGGAAGTGCGCATTGCCAAGCAGACGGTCTACGGCATCACCCTGGAGTGGTTTGCAGCAGCGGCGGCAGCAGCAGAGCCGGGGGAGACCTGGTACACCCTCCTGGTGGGCCGCTATGACGCCGCCCAGAAGGACACCATCTACATTGGCCCTGGGGTCAACACCTACTCGGTGACTGACCTGCTGCCCGCCACCAAATATGAGGTCTGCGTGGCCGTGCGCAACCAGGCTCCCCGCAAGGGCCAGTGTGTCGTCTTTGTCACGGGCAGCGACGTCAGCCAGATGGAGCAGCGTGAGAAGCTCATCCACATCGTGGTCATCGTGTGCGCCATGGTGCTGGCCGTGCCGGCCGGCATGTACGCCTGCACCGCTGAGGCCCTGCCCGGCTGCCTGGCCCGCTGCCCCAGAGCCTGCCCCCGCCGCCGCCGCGGGGGCCAGGCACAGGCTGCTGGCAGCAAGGAGAGCACACTGGACAGCATTCCCGCCGGCAGCGAGGACGGGCTCTGCCGCCCCGAGGACATCCGCGGCACCCGGCGGCCCCCAGCCCGTGAGGAGCCTGGCAAGACCCGTCCGCCCCACAGGAACAGCGCCGACCTCTACTAGCACAGCCCCTGCCCGCCCTGCGAGCGCGGCCACAGCAGCACCTTTCACAGACCACCTTGAGCCACAGCACGTGCTGGTTTTCTCGAAGGACCATGCGAGGGCGGCTCTGTGCTGCAAGGACTCGGGGCACAGTGGGACGCATGACTGTTGTTTGCAGCGGGCTTGGGGAGCCCTGGGAATGGAGGTGCCCGGCGTGTCCGGCCGCAGGTGTGGAGGTGTGCCTCCACAGCCCTGGGCTGCCCCTGCAGCACTGTCATGGAGCAACGCACACTGACACACCAAGAAAACCGGCATTGACAAAAAAACAACCCCCAAACCAGTATCAGTGCTTCTGGACAAAGGTCAAAGGTCTCCCCTCACTCACTCACACAGGCACGTCTTTAATTATTTGTTCTTCTTGCTCACAGCTCTGCCTAGCGCCAGGTGCCAGCTTCTCCTGTGTGCCACCTCCTGGGAATGGACAGGGGAGCTGAGCAGCGCTGTGGCCATAGCCAGCAATGAGTGGTGCAGAGGACTGGGTGAACACGATGGAGAAATTTTTTCTACTTGGAGAAAAATTTTTTTATTTTGACCAGAGGTGTTGGGTTTGGAGGTGGGTTTTTTTGTTCTGCTTTGTTTTGTGGTCTTCTTTCTTACTCCTCCTTAAGGTTTATGCAGCCCTAGGAGATTCACAGCTTTGGTTGTACCACAAACAGGAAAACTGCAAGTGCTTACCGAACACCCCAGTGTAATACAGCCACAGCACAGGATTTCGTGGGTTTTGAGTTATTTTGGTTTTGGGGTTTTTTTGTATTAGAGAGAAGGGGCGGGCTTTTTACTTGTGTCCAAACATATCTTAGAGGACTGTTTTAGCTTCAGACTAACTAGTGCACACACACACACACACACACACACACACACACACACTTGTGCCTATTGCTACACAAGTGTTGCTAATAAATTCTTTAAAGTTAGGAACCAGAGCCGGTGAAAAATGAACAATTTGTCTTTCAGAGGCAAACACTGAACTGCTGTTTCCCCTCCCACACACCCCATCACTTGCACCCTTTTTCCCAGGATAGTGCTGTGGCTGCAGGGGGTGATGGGGATGCTCAGCCTGAACAGGCTGGTGAGGCAAGTGGACAGAGGCAGAGAACATGGTGGAGCAGGGGTTTGGGAGCTGAAGGTGCAAGCCAGGCACTTTCCCTAAATGCAGACAGGTGCCTGCCCATCCCACTGCTTTGAAGCCAAAGCTTGCATCCTTGGTAGAGGCAAAAAAGCCCTAATAAGCACCTAAAAGAAACAGCTTCCTGCTTGCAGAGCAGCTTACCGCTGTGATTCTCAGGGGTCTGAGGACATGTGACCTATTATTTTTCTTGGTTTGAACTCACGCTTTCCAGCACAACCAAAGCATGTGGCCCACAGACCCACAGCCATTGTCATATGTGTTGTTATAGATTGTCTGAAAAATAAAAATCTACAGTAGGCACCCCAGCTGTAAGCAGCGATAGAACCTAATGTGAGCTTCATGCTGTGGTAGTTTGGATTTCTAGTTGTATTTTGTTTTTTGGTGTGTGTTTTCCATGCTGTGTCTCCTCAGGCCCCATGTTTCCTCTCCCAGCACCTCCTTCTACTGTAACATGCTGCACAGCTTTTGAACAGAGACCTGTTTTGTCACTGCGGACTCTTGGTGTGAATACTTCACAGGACTTCCTAGTCTTGTCAGTCTTTTAGTGTCAAAGCAATAAACACGACAGATTTTCAGAATACACAGATGTCCTCTGCTTCCTTCTAGCCTTTTACAGTTACAAGTTGCAAAGAAACCCGAATGCCAAGGAGCTCTGGGGTTTGGCTGCAGGGATGGAGGAGACCAGGCAGTTGCAGCACATGTCACAGGGGGTCTGGAGTGGTGAGGAAGGGGCAGAAGCAGCCAGCCAAGCAGGGAAACCTTGACCTGGAAAAGCTATCTGTGTAGACAGTGCATACAGAGTAAGGCATGAGCTGATGCTGGTTGAGGACCAGCGTGGGGCTGTGGATGAAGGGGAGTGAAAAACAAAGCACTGTCTGTAATGACTGGCCTTCCATCACAGTTGACACAGAGAAACACTAGTACACACTAGAGATTGGAGAGAGCTGCTGAATCACAGCGAGGGAACAGCCAAAGACAAAACATCCCATCACCAAATGTAGAAAGTTCGTAACAAATCACATACCCACTGGCATAAGGCTGAATCTGCTGCCTTGTGAGGAGCCTTCCTGCCCCCAGGGCCATGCTGCAGTGGGCTGCAGAACACTATGGGATCCTGCCCATCCCCTGTGCCACATGGCATCCTGCTTCTCACACCTCCTCTCCTTTCCAGCCTGGTGTTGTCCAAAAACCGCATAGCCCTTCTCTTGACTTGCAGCCCACAAAAGGGTCCATTTGCCCATCCTAGAAAGCCGCCTGGCTGCCCGTGCCCTTTTGGTCATGCAACAGGCAACGACAAGGCATCGTTGCAAGCAGAAGCACACCATGCACAGAAGCACCTTTTGTAGGTTTTTTTTTTTAATTTATTAACAAAAACCTTTGAAGTTGAAATACAGAGTAACTTGGAAAGAGTCTTACAACATAGTAATAAAACATCTTTATTGCCTCTTAAATATAATCTCTAAGACTATAAGCCTGTAATTCCTATTAAATCTCACTTAATTGAATGGTCTTTATAGGCTTTCCTCATTAGAGAATGCACACTGAATACTGGCTTTAAAACAACATCAGGAAGACAGTAGTATGGGGAATAAACAACAAACTTTTGGAACCTCAGGAAACATTGCAGACCCTGGGAGAGACACAACCAGCAGAAGGCGTGTGCTTGCACAGGGCAGCAAGAGAGGGGTTGGGGGCTGCATGTCCCCTCCCTCTGACCAGCTCACAGTCAGGGGATGAGGACAAGGTGACTGCACACAACACCAGAGCCTTGGCCTCAGGCCACACTGCCCCAGGGGTGGGGGATAAGCAAGAAAACAGTGGAGAAAAGGAGAGACATGACAGGAGAGGTTCTGGGTGCAGTGCTGCTGTTATGGCCCCCAGCTGGGACCCTGCTGTACCTCTTGGCTACAGCTGCTGGCTCAGCCCATGGGTAACATGAGCCACGGTCACCCTCTGGCTTCTAGGTGGATTGAAATTAAAAAATACAGGATTTTTCCTGTAAGTGGGTAACTTCTTATTCAACCATCTATCCCCTAAACTGGTGAAGTCCTACTGCAAAAAAAGGGAATTTTTCCAGCTAGTGGAGTAAGAGGAGATCTGGAGTGCCAGGTCTGCTGGTTCAACTGAAATGACAGCTGGAGAACTCTCAGGAACCCTTTGAATTAACACAGTGTCCTGTCCTGTTGACTTTGTTCCCCATCTTGATGTTCCCAGTGTCAATCCATGACAGCACAGCTTCTCTGCAGGGCCAGGGCTCAGGCAGAAGGTGCAGAGTGCCCAGCTCAGGCAGAGGGTGCAGGGTGCCCAGCCAGCCCAGTCCATTCTGCCTTCTTCCCAGCCTGACGCCCAGCTGAAAAACATCTCCTCAGAAACAAACATGAGGGAGAAACCGTGGGGTAGATCCAGTGAAAAAAGTGCTCTGCCCTCAGGGGCTTTTTACTGTCACATAACAGAAAAAAAGTGACAGCTACCTTCCCACCCTCCCCCCCTTCCCATTAACTACTGCATAATTCACTCAAAAATACTGATAGGACAAACCAGAATATTTTACGGAAACCTCATTTTGCACTCACCAGTCCCTGGAACAAGCCAGGAGAGGTGATGAAATATATTCCTTGACACCTTCTGCTAGCAGTGTACAGCACCACATGATCTTTCCAGACACTTCCCTGACCAACATATGTGACTTTCCAGCACTTGTCTATGTTTTTCACTTATCATTTGACTCTCAGTTTTACCTTGTCTTCCCTGTGGATTTATCCATGTCCTTCTCCTGCTGGATTCCTCCTTTTTTGGGGCTCAGTGTCAGAAGGAGGTAGTACTGAGAGTGCTGCTACTGAGCTTCTGTGCTCCAATCTTGCCTCAGCTGGTCTAGGGAAGGCTGAAAAGCCCCTCCTCTCTCCTCCTCAGCAGCCAAGTCCGGAGCAGAAGCAAAGCGCAGCATCATGTCAATGCACTCTGGCAAAACCCAGCATAAGCTGCAGGAAAATGAAGAACTTCTCCAAGTCTGCCCGCTTACCTTTTGGGAATGAAGGTACTCAGGCCGTGAGCACATCACTCCGCCAGCTGTTGCAAAGCTTGTTACACCCTGAGGACAGGGCAGTGTCACTGCTGTAGGAGACCTGTGCATTGACTTGGTGCTCATGCCACAGCCTTCAAAAGTCAGTCTGGGATTTGAAGTGATGGGATTTTGGACACCTCAAACCCACCTGCCAGACCAGCTCAGAAGCAGCATCTTCCAGGGCCTTGGCTGCAGAGCATCTTGTTTGAAAACCCAGGCTCTGGGTAAAGACCTCCAAACTGGGGGCAACCTGAATCCCTGTTCACTTGGGGAGACTGTGGCTGGTGTACTCAGCACTGTGGTCAGACAGCTGCAGGGAGGGAGCAGCAGTGGGACACGGGCTGAAGGAATTGCAGTCGCGACTGGACACAGACCACAGCACTTCTGTGGGTGGGGTGACTCTGGAGCATGTGGTCCTTGTGGAAGGTGAGGGGTGGCTATTGCATTGAGGAGCTGCTCTCGGTTTACAGGGTGCTGACAGACAGGGGGAGGAGCACAGCACGTAAATACATCCATGCACAGCCACAGTCTGCAGTCTCTGGGGGCTGCTGAGAGCACCTAGACGTGGGGCTCCCCGGTAGCTGCGTTCCTCTTCTCAAACCTCATTTTGAGCTCTGACACGAGGGCATTGTGGGTGCTGCTATGACCTTTCTTCTTTGGTGGCTTGATTATATGCTTGGGAGTGAGGGAGCCGGACACGGTTGGCACCCGCCACCCTGGGGCATCGCTCCTGGGAGCCAGGGCAGGGGGTGGCGGGGGCAAGGGGGCTGA